AGTTCCTCCGCTTGACATCATTCATCATTTCCTTCCATTGAGAACTCCTCAATTGTCAGCCTTAGAGCCAGCCAAGCTGGCCAAAAGACTGCTTAAGTCCTCCTTTTTAGCCATGTTCCTACTGTAACCTTTTTATCTCAAGATTTTATTACATTCTGACCTCAGAAATGAATTCCTCATGTGATTTCAACCTTAGTCACCACTACACACTTTTACACTACTCTTCTCCTTCATAGACTTTGTAATATTTCACCCTACCTTGTGAAATATCAACCAAGTTGGAATTCCAACCCTCTACCACATGTACATGTTGTGATTATGTAATCCAACTCTGAAAATTCTCTCAGGGGATACTGAGTTCGCATTTTCAGGATCTTCAAGCTTCAGACCAACCCAGAACCAACTCAGACCAGAAATCAGCAAACCTCAACTTGGATTCACCGCCATGTCATTGCTGTGTTATCGTTAGGAGTCCCTCACCTATTGGAATCTTCCCACTCATTGTGTCAGGATCACCAATATGTAAGTCAGTCCTTCAAGTTCAGCTTGCATCTTTCTGCTAAGTTTCTTCTTTGTCTCTCTGAATGATTACTCCATTCTGTTTCTACTAAACCTCTGCCTCAAACATCATCATATCAAATCAAGTCATCTTCATTCTCTGTTTGGTGGTATAGCTAAAAACCACATAGGTTTCCCTTTAAAGACCCTTGATCTTAGATCTAAAAAATAGTGGCCGGATTGACATATCAATACCAGGTACCCTTTTCAGTTTCATTTGATTAGGAGGCGTAGATTAATTCCGCTTAATAACAGCCATCCTCTAAGGAAAGTAAGACTGCATTAAAACTTGATCATAAAATAAACAAACAATTAAATGATTATTAATTTCTTTTCTCTTCCTTTCTCTCTCCCTTTCTCTTATTCTAGTTGTATTTCTTTATCCCCTTGAAATACATCTAGAATTGCCCCCCATACCTTGTGTCCTGTTGTCACTTTTGAGACCCAGGCTCACATCAATCTTGTGTCGATCTATCTCTCTCAAACTCAACCATCTTATTGTCTTCTCTCCGCTCAGTACATTCCCTTCCATTTCAACTTCCCGCCAATACTTGACCTGTACTTCCCTTCTCTCTCGACCACTCGCCGAATCCCTTGAAGAACATCAGGTCGATAATATTATCGTAGGTTCTTTGGCTCAGTCTTTCTCTTCTGCGCTCTCAACTGATCCAGACATTAACAGTAGCGCTACTGCGTTGTATCTCAGTTCTCTTTTGTCCTGTACTGTCCTCTTTGTTTTTCCTTCTTCATCGCGCACCTGTTGTTTGCCTTAAGGTTAGGAAACCTCTTTCTTCTCTCATGTATTTCTCATTGTAGATTGATACTTATAAAAGAAATACATCCTTAAGATTGTTCATTAACAAAAACCTGCACCCGACATCGCCTGGCGGGTGCGGGCGGTACCCACCAAGAGGTACTAGGTACCTAGCAAAGGGTACCGAAAAACAATCTATATTCAAAATACACTCCATTGCTCTGCAAATCATCACACATGAGTCAAACTTCATTTACGTGTATCTCTCCCTTTCCAACATCTCTACACATCAAATTTATCCTAATCATTTCTCTCCCTTAGCCTTGACACATGGTGCTCCAGATTGATGATGTTGCTTGTAATTGATTGGTTCCTGAGTTCAAGTTACACATTACCTCTTGAATATGGATATCTGGCCTCATTGCCAGGTCCAATTCTAAATTCTTCTACATCAGTGTAAGCCATATCCACCTGTGATTGTTACTCACTCTTGTTGGTCACTTTCTATCCAGTAAACTGCTTAAATCTTGTTGCCTCTGAATCCTTAACATTCTTAGGTTAAAAACCTCACTTGTTCTCCAATCTCTCCTTAATCATTCTTCTAAAAACTGAGCTTCTTGCCATCACAGTTACGATCACAGTCACAGTCTCTGTCTTGAATCTTGTTTTCAATCAATTTGATGTTGTCATCCCCAATGCTAAACTTGTCCATTTCCAAAACTGATCTCTTCTCCTCACCCTCAAGCAACACAGTTTAATTCTTTTTTCTTCTACTTCCTTTCACTACAAACAATACCAGTTTCGCCCCAGTAAAAAATGGCAATTTGGGTGGTGGAAAATATATCAATTTCCCTGAGGGTTTTTTACAAAATGACTCAGGAGTAAAAATTGGGATAAAATGAGCTATTTTAGCCCAAAGATAAAAAATGGCTCAAACATTCCAAAAATAATTTTTAGCTCATTTGAGGCATGTTTATTTTTTGGCTAAAATAGCTCATTTTAGCCTAGGTTTTACTCCTGAGTCATTTTGTAAAAAAATCCTCAGGGAGGTTGATATATTTTCCACCACCCAAATCATCATTTTTTCCTGGGGCAAAACTGGTATTGTTTTTAGTGTTTAGACCCAAGACCTATGTGGACTTTGATCATTGAAGAATATCCTATTCAAACTGCTCCTGCAAGACCATCTCCTTCATTTGGAGCTCAGCTTCCCCATGATCCCAAATAATGAACAACTGAAAACATGATTGTTTTTTTGTTTGCCATTTCCAGTCCAATCAAGTCTTTTCAGCTCAATTTTCCATATGTGATTCTTCTAAAACCAGTTCTTCCCCAATTGACAGACATCAAACTAAATTTACTGAGGAACTGTGTGATATACTAAAAATAACATAATGATGCCGCAGTACATTTTGAGTGTACACAGGTGGTTTGTGAGGATTTGGAATGTGTTGTGGGATGGGTGAGATGATGATGACTTGGAAGTGAGCAATGGAACATTGACATGTATTGTGTGTGTGGAAAATTTTCCCTCACCAATATGTTTTTCATTCTGTTTAAAAAATCCACAAAAAACAGTCCCATATTGAGATTCAAATTAGCATGTGCTATTTGCCCCCAATATGGGGAAATCCAGGTTTTGGATACATGAACAGATTAAGTTTTTCCTGAAAATTTAGATTTTGCTACAGACTACATCAGTATCATTTTGGGGCTTGGCTAAACAACTCCCAAAAAGTGGAGAGCCGACTCCCAAGCCCCGGAATCCCCAAATTTTGGGAGTAGGGCCCCCAAAAACTTTGACTGGTTTGGGAGTCAAGTCCCAAAAAATAAATATTAAAAAAAACCATCCCCCGGTTGGTTTAGGAGTTGATAATCCAAAACCAACCAGGGTTTGGGGGTTGACAAAGCAAAAGACCCACGGAAGCAGCCAGGAGGAATCTTCCCGGCCTCTGGGAGTACACTCCCAACGGCCGAGGGAAAACACCTCGGCTGCTAGTTTCCCTCGGCCCTCAGCCGCTGAGAGTACACTCTTGATGGCCAAGGGTGTACCTCTCAGCCATTGAAGGTATACACCTCGATGGCCGAGAGGATTCCTCTTGGCCGCCAAGGGTAGAATTCCACTCTCAACGGCCGTGGGAATCCACCTCGGCCGCTGAGTGCGCTTATTGATGGCCGAGAGTGTAGCTCCCTCTTGGCCAACAAGAGTGTACACCGGGAGTGTACCTCTCAACTATCAAGCACCTGTGTCACTCAAATTCTTCGGTCCCAAACCAAAGAAAATGGTGCCATTATCTTCGGTTTGGAACCAAAGAGCTGCCAGAGCTGGGTGAGCTGCCTGGAGCTGGGTCCCCCAGCTGACTAGATTTCCAAAAACACTGGCAGAGAAAAAGTCTCTGAAGCTCAGCGGTTTGCACTGGCCCTAACATCTGACCATCCAGCAGGTCGTGGGTTCGATTCCCACTGGCCCCATCCCCTGATGGGGGTTAGGGGGCAGGTTTTTGGTGTTAGGGTTAGGTTTACCGTGTTAGGGGGTTAGGGGGTTAGGTTTAGGGTTAACCCAGGAGCACAGTACCTGGACAGGTTCAAGCGTAGTAGTTCATCTGCCTGGGTATTGTGGGGCCATTGGGGACCTGGCGGAGTTGTCAGGAATCCAATGGCCCCTGCTTCAAGGGGGGGTTAGGTTTAGGGTTAGGTTTAGGGTTAGGTTTAGGTTTAGGGTTAGGTTTAGGCTAGGGTTAGGTTTAGGGTTAGGTTTAGGGTTTAGGGTTTAGGGTTTAGGGTTTAGGTTTAGGGTTTAGGGTTTAGGTTTAGGTTTTAGGGTTTAGGTTTAGGTTTAGGGTTTAGGTTTAGGTTTAGGTTTTAGGGTTTAGGGTTTAGGGTTTAGGGTTTAGGGTTTAGGGTTTAGGTCGGTTAGGGCTGTTTTTTTTATAAAAAAAATTGGCAAAACCGGTTTTTACCCAGCTCACTCAGCTCACCCAGCTCATATACCCAGCTCACCCAGCTCTGCTTGTTTTTCGGTTTCAAACTGATGATAATGAGAGCATCCGCATCGGTGCGGGTCAAAGCTAGGGGCAATAGCAACGGTTAGCTACAATAACATAGCAACGGCACCACATTTCCACATCGGTCTTCACTATTTGAGAACCAACGATCCCTCGACTGCGCTAGCAACACAAAACTCAAGGACCGCATCGGAATAACTACAGCATGTCGCATCACTACTTCCGACTGAAGGAGAATGCATGGAGGCTAGCCGACTTTGATGAGGAAGCGGATGAACACAATCACAATCTAATGAAGATTCTTTGCTCCCATGTCTTTTAAGTTTCCTTGATTTGATTGTATTTGTCTGATCGTTTACTTTGACTCAAATCAATTATGTCGGTCTTTTATGTATGTTTCTTCTCTGATCTTTTTGCCGCTCCTTTGTTTTCTCCTCCAATTGTTTCTTTGGTCCGATCAAAGTTGTAATGCTTCTTTGTGCTCTGATCAAGGAAGCGATTTCAATTACAAGTATTTTAACAGAAAAGAAATGAAAAAACTCAAGGGAACATAATCCCAAAAGTGACAAAATGAGCAAGAGAGAACCAACACAACATCAGAGCGATCGAGTGAAAATCTGAATGAAACAATAATAGAGAGATTGCATTCACATAGATTGGATTCTGTGAGGTGTGAAGCCAACTCCTAGCAAGTTGGGCATCTTCTTCGCTGAGCCAGTTGGGTCCCCTGGGCATTTGTTTTGAGTAGTCGATGTAGTCGAAAGACGTAAATGTTAGAGTGAGGCTGGTGTTGAATGTGATCTGTGTAGCGATATATTGTGATGGTGTAGTGTAGTAGATGGGGATATAGCATCCACTAGCGACAAGTTGCTGCGAACTGAACTTTGAATATTCAGGATGTCCTAGCATCGTTGCCAAGTACTCCCAAAGTTGGGGAGGGTTGGCGATGAAAGCTAGAATATCTGGCAAGATTCGGGATCATGGCCGAACCGATGTGGTGTGTTTGTGGCTATATGTAGCAAAGCGCGGGGTTTAGCAGAGCTGATGCGGATGCTCTGACATCATTATCTTTGGTTTGGGACCGAAGGATCCAATTGCCAAAACTTCTATCAAGAGTGTACACCGGGAGTGTACCTCTCAACTATCAAGAGTGTACACCGGGAGTGTACCTCTCAACTATCAAGAGTGTACACCGGGAGTGTACCTCTAGACCATCAAGAGTGGCAACGGCCAAGACTTTACCTCTTGATAGCCAAGAGAGAGCTACACTCTCAGCCATTGAGAAGCGCACTCAGCGGCCAAGGTGGATTCCCTAGGCCGTTGAGAGTGTAATTCTACCCTTGACGGCCGAGAGGAATCCTCTTGGCCATTGTGTATACCCTCAATGGCCGAGAGGTACACCCTTGGCCATTGAGAGTGTACTCTCAGCGGCCGAGGGCCAAGGTGTTGTCCCTTGGCTGTTGGGAGTGTACTCCCAGCGGCCGGGAAGAATCCTCCCAGCTGCTTCCGTGGGTCTTTTGCTTTGTTGAACCCCAAACCCTGGTTGGTTTTGGAGGATCAACTCCTAAACCGACCAGGGGATGGGGTTTTTCTAATATTTTTTGGGGCTTGGTCAAACGACTCCCAAAAACTGGAGAGCCGACTCCCAAGCCCCGGATTCCCCGAAAAATGGGAGTCGAACTCCCAAAACCTTTGACTGGTTTGGGAGTTGACTCCCTAAACAAAATAATAAAAAATAATAAAAATCCCCGGTCGGTTTGAGAGTGGATCCTCCCAAACCGACCAGGGTTGGGGGTCGATGAACCAAGAGACCCACGGCAGCGGCCGGGAGTACACTTCACGGCCAAGAGTTGACCCCTCGGCTGCAAGAGTGTACACCTCAACGGCTGAGCCGGTTCTCATTGACCGTTGAGGGTATACACTCTCAAACGGCCGATGGAAACCGCCTCAGCCGTTGAGGTGTACACACTTCAACGACCGAGGTACACTTGACGGTCGTCGAGGTGTGGGGCGGAGAGAAACCCTCGGCCGCAGAATGCACTCCTCGACGGTCAAGAGCTGCCTCGCGCAACAGGCAGAGGGGCACACATTCACGGCCATGAGGTATCTCTCAGACTGAAGAGCGTGTAAAAGCTTGATAGCCTAGAGAGTCTCTCGCCCGTTCAGGTGTATACATCTCCACAACGCGGCCACTGTCTTTACGCACACGGGTATGAAGTTCTTCCAACCGACGGGCTAGTGTTGATCTAGCCTGAGTATTC